AATTAAATATGGAGGAGAGACGTGGAATTAAGAAATTTGGGGCACAATATACTTTTCATATCCTGAGATCAGAAAGAAATTAAATCCTATCTTTTTAATTGAAATAATTGTGAGATTTCTCCATATCAGAGAATATGAATTTTACAGCAAAAGTAACCTTTAAAAGCATAGTCTAAAGCAATGTTTATTCTTGCTGTTGTATTTCAAAAGCTGTCTGTAAAGAGAAAGTTGAGTGCTTTTTTTCTTGTCTAAATAGGTGAATGAAAGAATCACAGTTCCAGTTTCTGTACGATGATTGATTTAATCATAAATCATCGTTCAGGTTTCAGTTAAAGTTTGCCTGCCCAGGGTTCTGCCCAGGTTATGTATCACCAGTCAGTGAAGACCAAGGCAGTTTTAGGACCCTGCTCATACTCCTGTCCCCTCCCTGCCCCTGGCTGCAGCCACCTCTGCCACCACTGTCACCATTGCCACCACTGTCAGTCACCGCAGCCCTGCAGCTCCTCCGCCCGGACGGCAGCCGCAATAGTCGGAAGGAACCCTCAAGCCCTGCCTATTCCCCTCTGCATCCCTTCCCACATTCCTCCTGTATCTCTCAAGCCTCGATAATCCACTTCGCGCTTTATTTACTTTGGGTTTCTAAGTTATCTTCCCTTTTTCTGCTTTCAGATATGGATTACTGCTACCGATGCAACAACAAAACCTACTGGGCTCCCATCAACAGTACCACATGCTACAGAAAGACAATCCATTTCCTCGCCTGGACAGACTGGTTTGCTATTTTCCTCCTCCTCCTCTCCGCTTTTGGGGTTGTGTTGGTTTTGTCAATCAGTGTAATATTTACTAAAAACTTGGACACACCGGTTGTAAAGGCATCCGGAGGTCTAACTGTCTGCTATATTATTCTCTTCAGCCACTTCTTAATTTTTTTAAGCACTGTCTTCTTCATAGATGAGCCCACAGAATTCAAGTGTAAAACTAGGCAAGCCCTCTTTGGCATAAGTTTCACACTCTGCATTTCATGTATTTTAATAAAGTCGCTAAAAATTTTACTAGCCTTCAGCTTTGATCCCAAGCTGCAGAATTTCCTGAAATGCGTATATAAACCTGTTCCCACTGTGGTCACCTGCACTGGAATTCAAGTTGTCATTTGCACCTTCTGGCTAATATTTAGGACACCTTTTGTAAAGCAAAATTTCTCCATCCCACGAGCAATAATTCTGGAGTGCAATGAGGGCTCTATTGTCGCTTTTGGGATTATGTTGGGCTACATTGCTGCCCTAGCCTTCATCTGCTTCATATTTGCCTTTAAAGGTAGGAAGTTACCAGAGAACTACAACGAAGCTAAATTCATCACCTTTGGCATGCTAATTTACTTTATAGCATGGATCGTATTTATCCCTGTCTATGCAACTACGTTTGGCAAATACCTGCCAGCAGTGGAAATCATCGTTGTTTTAATATCCAACTATGGAATCCTCTGCTGCACTTTCCTTCCAAAGTGCTACATCATCATTTACAAGCAAGAAACAAACACAAAATCTGCCTTTCTCAAAATGGTTTACACCTATTCCTCCAAGAGCGCAGGCAGCGTTGCTGTTAGTCAGATCTCTTTGGATTCACAGTCTTCCAGCTCCCGAGCTACTATCTCAGACTCGTGTAAATCTGCGAAAAACTCTGTGAATGGAAACTGCCATTCCCAAGTGCCCGGGCAGAGACTAATAAAAGGGAAAGGTCTTCCTAAAAGCGCTGCGAGGACTATGGCCAGGAAAAGACTCTCCAGCATATGACTGGGCAACATTAACGTACTGGAAGATGAAAAGCCATCTTAGGGAGCCGTTTCTCTTTCAGGTCCCTTTCCTTTTGGCGTCCCCAAAGAGAGCAGGCCACACCAAATGCCTTCTCCTCCGGTACGTAAGCAGTTACCCATTACAAGAGTTGCAAGGCTCTCCTTTCTCATGGAGCCCAGCCCCTGCTCCTGCAGGCGCCATGAGGTCCAGCCCCCTTCAGCAGCTCCCATCCTTCCCCAGTCCGCTCACGTAGACCCACAGGAACCTCGTCCACAATCTCACTTCCCCAAGTGAGGCAGAAACATCAGGAAATCATTATTTCTCACAGACATGTAGGTGGGAACATGTAGGTGGGTTCACCCCACCTTTTTTTTTTTGTGTCTTTGATGCCCAGTTGTTTAAGGAGCTCTTCTTCTGTCCTGGATCTGTTTTACAGATCAAACAGAACCCCCTCCCAGCCTTTGTTTGTAAGGATAAACAAGCCCAGTCCTTTAGTCTCCACTTTTAAGATAGGCTTTCCATTCTCCTGAACATCCAACAGTAACCCATTTCACCTGGTATCAGTGAATCCTTCCTCCCCTCCCCCCCCAAAAAAAAAAAATTGCACATTTTATTCCAGACGAGTGCTGCAGTAACTTTTAAAGTCCTTGTAATTACCAGGATGATAATGAACTCAAGAGAAGTCTATATAAAAAAGTAAAGAATTTCTCTGGAGCTCTGTAGTTATACATATGGTCTACTACTTTATTCCATACTCAGAAATACACTGATTCCCTTCATGCATCTTCTCTGATTCCTCTTAGTTAAAGAGGAATGTGTAACGTCAAAACTTATAAACACTAATTGATCCCTCTTATTAGCATAAATAATATAATAGCCATGATCAGCATGGGGATTTTAGCTTTTTTGATGCATATTTAAAAAAAACGACTTTCAACAAGAAAATGGCAATGCACCATTCTGAAAGGCAGGAATAGCACAAGAACAAATAGGTACGAGCTGCACTGGATGGGTCTCTGCTCTGTAGCTCCATAAGCACAGCTGTGCCGTGCCTTCCGTACGAGAGGCAAAGGGCACGTTCAGAGGAGGAGGATTTTTTTTTTGTCAGGACAATGGTACCACAGTGGTTTTTCAAACCCTAAACAGCAGAGCTATTCTGCCAGTCCGGGACTGGGAAGAATACTTTTCCGTGTTCCTAAAGCCCATAGCCCAGACCATAGGAACATTGCTATTTTAACTTCTGTGCTGTGAAATAATGCTAAATTCCTTGAGTTTTGTGCATGCTTCTGTTTGGATCTGGAATAACTGGATGTTGTGGCAGGACAAAATAAAATTCAGTAGATTCGGTGTTACACAGAAATACTGTATCATTTTTATGTACAATATATCTATTTTTCTATCATTTATATTTATAAGTTGTAACCCATATCCATATGGTTTTTCTACTCATATTTTGCTAAAAATACCTATAAATCACATTTCAACAATGAAATTACTGTAACATGTAGGCCATATATGTAACACATACCTGTGAAGACATTTTTAAAGTAAATTGAATGGCAAGGGCACAATTTATATATATATTTGAGTGATTATGTAAGTTCTGTAGTGGATTGGAAGAATGAAGGTTTATGCACATGTATTTATATGATGAACGCTATTCATACATCCGTTGTTGTAATTACTGTTCTGAATAGGAAGTTATGTACAATAAGGTTAAAATTCCTGCAATTTGGCTGTCAATGCAGGAAGAAGTCTGTCCCCAAGAGAGCGAAGCAAAGCTTACACTGCACAACGACTGCCAGCACTGGGCCGGTTAGAAAAGTTACTTTGACTTGAACGTTGTACCTGTATTCATCGTTTTCAAAAGTGTTAAGCATGTCATGTCTTGAAGATGTAAGGAAAGGGAATGATTAAAGCCATATTGTTATTTAAAATTGAGTTTGCCCACTTAATTTCCTTGCCTTTCCCCATGAACTTTGGTTTTGCATTGAACAGCAGCAATACACGCACCCAGCAGATCTCAATCTGCTTCTTACAAACGTGGTTTAGGTTGAAAACTAAGCATGGTAGGGCATTCCCCCTACAGGACAACGAGGAAAGTGTCTTGAGGGTGTGGTGACAGCAATGTGAAGGTCTCAACGGAGGTATCTTCAAGGAAAGACATGACACGGCAGAATTTCAAAGGAGTGCCTGCATGCTACATCTGCCTCTCCAGCTACTCAGGTCTTCCGTGTAAAGCACAGCCAATGGTGGAGCTGAGAGGATGTAACAGATTTGCCGGCTAGACTCGGCAGAAAAAAAAAGAGACGCGATACCAAGCTGTGTGACATATGTTTTTAAATGCCTTGTCTGCAAGAAACAGGTGATCCTATGCAGGTAGAACATGAAGGGATTGTGATACCCTATACAGAGGATTAAAAAAGCTGAAAGTAGGGGGTCGTGATGCTAAAGGGAACATTTGCGTGCATTCCCCTGCCCAGAACAGTAAGTATTTCAGCAACCTAACCATTCCTGTTACCAGGCATGGGGACATTAAATGAGCCTGAAACAGATTTTCACCCCCAGAGCACAGAACAGGAATCACCTTCCTGAGGCACAGCGAAGTCTCAGCACGGCCCCCCCAGAATCACAGCCCGTAGGTCACACCGTGTGGGGCCAAAAGGGTTAGAACCCGCCCTGCCTGCTTACTTTGGAAAGATCCCCACTTCTCAAAATCCTAATGTCTGTATGTGCCCACCTGCACGTTTTCCATCTCTGAGAGCAACAGAGAGGACAAATGTCCCCAGATACAGTGCTGAGAGATACAGAGAAGTCAGGAGTGAAAATGTCATTTGTGGAGCTCAGTGAGAGGCTGCTCTGGATGTAACCACTATTTAACCATTTGGGGTTTTCTGTCATTCATTGTTAATAATGCTAAACGACACATTCTGAAGCCACTGTCACACAGACTACAATATCTTTAGGGAGAAAGAAGACCAGGAAGGCCAAGTTTTTCAAATCCCCTCCTCCGGGGCATAATTCCCCCAAGATTTCAGTAGCTCTGTCTGTGCAGATGCCTTTCAGCTGCCCGTAATCTTTAGAGCAGTTCTTTGGCGAGTGCTGGGAACTATTTATGTGAGCTCCAGGCTTCCTCCCGGCAGCTCTACAGACGACCATTGGAACTATCACGACTCTAAATGTTGCTAGCATGACTAGAAGCTAACAGCAATGTTTGGGATGCTGCTCGTAACCTACGATGCCGGGCAGCCCAGTCCAGCTGTGCTGACTCTTCCTACCCTCTTCCCAGCTGTGTCTCCAGAAACAAGGAGCTCTGCTGGACACCACACCGGTCTCTTTGAGCAGGAAGGTGGAAAAGGCAAAGGGGCTACAGGCAGGCTGTAACCCCTAAATGACCCTCTAAGTCATTTCTATTGATGTGTCTCCATCTCCCCAACAATGTTCTGATATAGGGCAGAGCTGCTTGGGTGGGGGTGGGGGGGTGTGTGTGCAAAGAGGTGCACGCTCTTCCTTTTTTGTTTATTTTTAGAAGGATATGAGAGAGAGTCGGTGTGGAGCTTAGATTCAGGGAGCTGGGTTCTTCTCTTTAGAGAATGGCTCATTTGCAAACAGATTTTTTTCTCTGAAATAGAATGTGGGAAGATCGATTTTTTAATTTTGTTTAAAAGTTGTATGACTTAAATGGATTGTAATGGCTTTGATGTTTTACCAATAATAAGGACATTTTGTTACATTAATGATTTTGCAATGGAAACTGTACATGTGTGAGTAAGAAAACATCAACATGGGACTACTTACTGAAAAGAAAGCGCTTTTTTGAGTGTCTTTCTGGAATGAAATGTTGTCCAAACAGCATTTTAAAAAACCTTTGAATATCAAAGTCACTAGGACTCACTTTGGTGACAAATTTCTGATTTCCTCTACTCAACAGTTTGCTTTCAGAAAATGCTGCTCAGCTTTGCCTCTGCTCCTGAAATTAGATAACTGGAGGTTTTGGCTACAAACGGTTCAAGACTCCTAATCCGTCCCACCACGTTGAGCACAGGGCTTTGGCTGCTGCCGGGCAGTGATCCATCCCTGGGGAGCAGGACTTCCTCCGTTCATCCGCAGGCGTTCTGGCGCTGGTTGATGGATGCAAAATCCTCTACTGTTCAGAGCATCAGATCCAATTCTGTGGGACACTGTGTTGCACTGGTACCGTGCTGGCATGGGCTGCTGACTACTAAATATGTATTCTGTACTCACTTTTCTGAATTATTTTTTTCAAGGATATGTTTGTAATGAATGGTTCTTTTGGGGGTTTGGGGTTTTTTTTTGTTTGTTTGTTTCTTTCTTTGTTTTGGGGTTCTTTGATTTGTTTTGGTTGGGGTTTTTTTTGTTTTGTTTTGTTTTGGGTTTTGTTTGTTTTGTTTTATAAGGTTTTATTCTGTCGAGGACGTGGAAGGGCAAAAAAATAAAAAAAAGAAAAAGAAAAGTTTTTCAGCTGAAGTAAACAGAAAAGCGTGTGATAAGACTGGGTACGTTTGGACCTTCTGAAGGCGGCGGGAGGGCAGAAGCGCGGCCGCGGCAGCTCCGCGTTGCGGGAGATGAGCCCGCCGTGCGCTGCGCCGCGAAGCCGAACCGCCGCGGCTCCGCCTTTCGCCGAGTTTTGACGGGAACGCCGAAGTCGGGAGGGCAGAGATGCAGCCCGCGGGAGCGCTGGGTGAGCCGGGCGGCTTCCCGGGAGGACCGCCCCCCC